AAATGACCCAGATATTCTCCAGAAAAGCTTAGGTTGCGTCTTGAGTGTCTGTTTTGTACAAGCTGATCTCGCTCTCCCGTCTTCCTGACCTCTGTATCAGGAAAAGCCTTTTAGGAATGACACGTAACATTCACATGAAGGGCAGAAAAGGTTAACTGGTTACAAATAGTCAAATACATCACATGTTTAGATCTAGAAAGGGAACATTCAGAAGATAACCCATTGACACAGCAATCGACATAAAGGAGAAGAGAGTAAACAGGAGAAAGAATGCTTCTTGTGGTTACGTTGGTCACACAAGATAGAAGGATGAATCATCTCAAATTACAGTCAGATTTATTTGATGGGGATAAATTCAATATGCCTGGAACTGCCTGGAAGCTGCAGCAAATTTTTCAACCTCACTACTGTTTTTTTCTCCACCACAAAATCTTAAATTTGATCTTTTAACTATTTTTTTTTTTCATATCAAACAATACCCAGCAAGAAAATTATTCATAGGTATAGGATATTGGTTTATGCTGCAGAAAATGTGCAGGACTGGTCTTTTAGCAGCACTGAAACGTGAAGCTAAGTAGGGCACAAAAATATCAGTCACCACTGTTTGCCAACCTCCCTGCACTGACGGGTATCCACCTTAAAGGCCACATCTACAGTTTGTGGTTTCACAAACACACATTGGGGTCACCCTCACGAGTGGAATTAGACACGTAAAAATCACGGGCTTCGGTCATGGTTATCTGCAGCCTGTTTTCAAGTCACTATGTGAAACATGTTCAATTCCTCCTCACCAACATTTCCATCAAGAAACTGTTTACCTTTTTTCTAGGGTCAGTCCTGATCTGTTTGGACGGGTGTACAGTTCAGAAACTACAGGGACACACACACACACACACACACAAGTCTGCATGTTCCTTTAAATGTTTCTCTAGAAGGTGCCAACAAGAGAAGCAAACAGACAGTCTGAGTCAGAAAACCAGCGATGACAAAAAGAGCAGCCTCGTCTATTCTGGGTAGTTAATGGAGAAATGAAGTATTTGTTCATCCAAATGTAAGAGGTGATGAAATGAGTCAACAAGGGAGACTTTGTGCTTATACAGTCACTTTTTAGACGCATTCTGAGAATAAATGACAATGTTTGGTGTAATGTTTTTATTGTTTTATGCCTGTCAGACAAAGGAGTATTGATAGTAATCGCCAGTTTATCTTAGGGGGAGAGGGATAATTGACGTTCCCGAACAAAAGGATTTAACATCTGAGAGGGATCCCATCAAGCTGTTGACTCCTTCATGGTGCCAAATGGAAATCTGCTTTCACACCTCAGTCTTTTTTGCTGATGGGGAAATCTCAACACAAGCAACCATTGTTCTGGGTTGGTCTTTTGGATGTATTGGGTTTTTTCATCACTTTATATTTGGAACACAAAAGAAAATGCTGCTAAAGGAAGTCACTAAGTTACCGTAATATTATAGGAAATTCACACAAAAATTAGACTACAATGCAAAAAAAAAAAAAAAAAAAAGCCATTAATTACAACCAGATCTGACAGGTAGATGAGGCCTATTCTGACCAGGTCAAGCAAAATGTTCTAAGGCTCGTTCTTAAATCATGCTATGTGAAGAGTCATCATGTGGTTTCCATAAACCAATCAGAGGCAGAGTTGGGATAACATGGGAGAAACTTCCAATTTGACAGCCAATGTAAAGAAACAAATCAACACTACTTTAAACATTTAAGGTTGCAAAATGCATTTCAATAATTGAAGACAGGTTGACACTCAAGGTTTGAAGCTGGAGTATGTAACTTTTTTAAACTATGCTTTTTGCATATTTGTTAAAATTGTCACTATTACAGTATGAGACGGGTAATTAAAAAATGATTTAAGCTCTGTTGCGTCATCCCTGCGGTCCTACTGCTGTTTGAAGAAATACACCAGAAACAACCAATCAGAGCCAGGAGGAGGGACTTAGTGCTGTCAATCAGGCTTATACACATGCTGTTCACAGCTTCCCCCTTGCTCTCTGTTAGGCCAGAGCAAGTTCACCACGTTAAGCACATACACGAGCATGATTGGCTGTTTCTTACCGAGCGGTGTATTTCTTCAGGAGGCCATCGGAGCACAGAGAGGAACCAGAGGAGCTTGACTTATTCACAGATTATCTCTAATGTATCCTATCATTACATGGTGACAAGTTTAACAAATATGTAAACTAAGGATTATTTCCAAATGTAATGGATTTCTAACATATTAAAAAAGGATCATATAATGTTTCAATGCATTTAACTTGATGCTTGTCATATTTTGTAAATCATGTTGTGAACAGACCTAAAACTCCAGCACGGACAAACTAAAGTAACCTTAAGAAGGTCAAATAAATTAGGTGAAAGGTCAAATACAATGCAATACTTCTTGACATGTAAATTAGTATTCAAAGGATTACAAGATCTTTCCGCTTGGTATTTTGCAACTTATAACATAATCCCAATCAACCTCCGGTACACAAGTAAATTTGTTAATACAATGTAAATTTTCTGGTATAGTTATCAAGTTCTTTGGCTCATTTGCATAAAAGACTTGTTAAACTGAAAATGAGCTAATTTTCTTCTTACTATGACAGTGTAGTTTTGGCTTTCAGGCAATCCCTTGAACAAGTGTCTGGGACCTGAAACTACAAAAATTGCATTTTTAGAATATCTATCATTTTGTCTGTAGAAATCTAATCCGTCATGCTCAAGGGCTAAACCATGCAAATCTAAATAATTTCAAGTGAAAATAAATTTCTTAATACCACATATTATGTTTTATTTACTTCTTATTATTATTTCTGAGAAAAAGAAGTGTCAGACATTATTGCAGCTGAACTGTTACCACACTGGCTATCAGAGATATTGGCCTTTAGTCAAGGCCTCTTCAAATTTAGGGACTTTCTCAGTAACCTATTTCTGTGAACATTAGCCTGGGTCGTACACACAGCCGACACATGAACTGAAAGCCAGTCAGATGTGGTCATGTCTGACACCTGCCAACAATCGGGATGCAAAGTGGAATTTGAGTTCAGCTTAAAGTTCAGAGATCATGGTGAAGTCAGACTTTTTAAAAACGTTCTTAACAAATATTAGTACTGGAGGGGAAACTGGAACAACCTTCATATCAGACACATCTGATAATGACAAGTCTCTCTGGGAATGCCACAGTTCTTCTTTGTGACCTTTGAATGAATGTTTGGTGGAACATTAGAATCAGCACTTTAGTCATATTGTTGCACATGTTTTAATAGTCGATATTTCTGTCCTGTCAATTCAGATATTTTTCTGGAATATACTGAGTTAGCCTAATGCAGACTTTATGCAGGTTTCACCAACTCAAATCTAAGACTTTAAATAAATAAATAAATAAATAAATTAAGACAGAGATGTACAAAAGTAATGCAGAAGACCAAAACTATAAAATTTCTGGGGTCTTTTTGTGGCTCTCGGCAGCAGTTTTACGCATTTCACATGGCATATGGGTTGCTAGCCAAAGCTAGAGAGCTGTAATTAGACTGTTGTGGCTCTGGTGTAGTTCCTCACACCAAAGCCATGACAGTTGCTGAAGAGTAGCAGGGCTAGCTAACTAGCGCTCTAGTTAGCTACCTAACACGTGAAGCTCAATGTGTTATTGCAATTGTGATATGGCTCTAGCTAGCTATATGCAAAGGAGATAGCATATGGCTAGCTAGAGAGCTAGAAATTGACTCAACATTGATAGTAAATGGCTCTCTAGCTACCTAGAGAGCTATCCTGGCTTCTACTGGCCTGTTTGCTAGCTAGCAAGCATTAGCAGTTTGTTACTGATATCCTTAACTGTCTTGAGTCACAGAATGGAGTGAGTGATGTTTGACTTATGCCTGATAGAAAAATCCTGCAAGAATAAAACTACATAGAATATATAAGGTTAAGTAGTCCTGACATGACAAAATGTAAGACCTGTGATTAACATATTTAAGGCTAACTTACATTTTTAACCCAATACCCAATACATTAGCAGGGAGCTAACAGTATTAGCTCCCTGCTAATGTCATCCTTAACCCTGACATTAGCAGGGTGCTAATGAGGCTCTTCTCCATTTGGAGGTTTCATCATCCCATGGAGCCTGTTAGGGTCATTCTGATGAGTCATGTTTGATGATAAATTATGACACACACAGTTCATACCAGTCTTTTTGGTGAACACAAAACTTACAGGAATTTAAATGATGAAATATGCATGTCTTCAACTCAGGAGCATGTGCACCTTTAAGTTACATAATTTACTGTTGAAGTTGGTATTTTTAAATATTCTTACAGTAAAAGGAGAGTTGGAGGAACAATCCAGTTGTTCCATCTAGTCAATGTGAAAAGAACACAATGATCTTCACATTGTTATCTTTTAAGGACACAGATGCTACAAAGTTCTTGTTTTTGTTAGTTTGCTTTGTAGACTAAAGGACATTCCTACAAATGACTGCAGCAAAAATTGACCAAATTCTTCCTCAAAACAAAATAAACAGCAGCATGCTCAGACCTGCCTCCTCAGCTAACACTTAAATGTATGAATCGCACACAAGTGTACACATGTGACATGCTGAGGTCCCTTTGTGTCGCCTGAACCGCACTTGTTACAGCATATTGTATATGACTGTTGAGCTGAATTTGACTAATGCAGTATAGCTGATGCACAACAGTACAAGGATTTTCTCATACTGATAGCATTTATGTCTGAAAATGGAGTCAACATTAGTTAGTCTCTTACTGGAACCATCGTTTTTCCAGTAACTTTCCACTCTGCTGAACATGGTTGATGGTTTGATTTATGACGACACTTTTCTGCAGACACACCATGTCTCGATTATACAAAAAAGAGAGATAAAGGGAGACAAGGGTGCAGGGGGTGGGAGGTTATAATTACACTGCACGGACTGGAACTCTGTCCCTCTCTCGTGTTCTCCCCCTCTGGGATCTTGGCCTTACTATATAAAGGAGAACCCGACCCACACAGGTTTACTCAGTCACGCAGATCTGGGTTGTACATTCAGCAAAGCTGAAAACTTTTGCTTCACTTCCAGAGTCAGCCAAGTTCTCCTGCTGAGTTCTCGATTCATCGTTGGACATCAGGGAATCCACCTGGTCCAGGATAAATCCAGAGGTCTTTAGAGATAAAAGAAACCGATCCAACTTTTTCTAAGTCCATTGAAAGGATGGAACAGCAAAGCTTCTTCACTCACAGAAAAGCATTGGTGGTGATGTGCATTGCAGTATTTTTGCTGGCACAGCAGGTAAGGAGATTACTCATTTGATTGAAATGTGGGAAATCTTTCTGTGGCTATTTTAGGGGAGATACATACTGATTTTAAAATGTTTTAAGTTACAAATAGAAAATTCAGTTGATCTTCCAAAAAGTAGATGATCATCATTGGAAGATGTTAAAAACATTGACATTACATTGCTCAAATTTTATACACCTAAATTGATTTTGCTCTTACACACCAACATCCAATAACTTAGAGAAATCAAAATCAACATGGTAGTTTATCGACTTGTGATAAACTTTCAACAACTAATAGACATTCCTGTGCATTTTCTTCTTTGTGCGGTTGCCAGGCACACGCAGGTCCGCTGGTATCACGGCTCCAGTCTGGCTCTGACCAGATCCAAGACGTAAGGGGGGAACACACAGAGCACATGCTGAAAAGAATTGCCCGCATGACCCCTCTATGGAGGATCATGAGCAGCAAACCATCCGGAGCTTTCTGCCAAAACAACTTTGAATGCGCGACTGGACTCTGCAGGTAACAGGAAAAAATGTATATTTTCAGAAATCAAACTGTGATGCATCATTACCGTATCTAAGAAGGGTGCCTGACTAGGAGTTACAAGTTCAGATAGTAGGGAAAATTTTTAAATCCACTAGGACTTACTTCTTGGGTCAGCATTGAGCTACCTGGTAATTCATTCATCTACGCGGGTTAACAGATGGAGATTATGCATTATACAGGGGCACTAATGAGATCCACAAACTATCTATTCCTACAACTTTCACTAAATTTTACATGTACTGCTCATGCTCATGCCTTCCTGAGGGCTAATTTCTGTTTAATTTTTCCAATTTGAAACTTCAAAATAAAAACTTCGGATTATAAATTGAACACAGCATAAAGGAACAAGGAGAGAAACGTCACTTAAAGTTATGTCACAGGGATTACTAATGAAACTAGTGACTGGCCCATTAGCTTGGACAAAATGTTACTAAGCCAAAACATTTAACTGGTTTTAAACTTTATAACTGACGTACATTTAGATTCATATCCAAAAAACTTAGATCTAGGCTACAAGTGTCATAAAGTAACTTAAGCTGAATTTGTTTTAATTTCCATTTGGATAATGCTTGGGAGTAGCCATTAGTCGTAATCACTGCTGAAGCTAATTCAAGGCGTAACTAGTGTATTTTTTCCCTTCTATTTATCTAAATACTAAAAAAAAATTGTACAATACCATGTGCGCAACTTATTTAGTAAGAAACAAAATGCCCGAAGAGCAAACAGTTTTCTTCTAGTTTTAGCTATATTCTGAATTCACGGCAGCCGTGTTGCATTCAAAGTCAGAGACCTTTGGCTTTCCAAGTTGACATGACTTCATCAAAAGACTCTGTATTTGATTATTACCTCACAAAACAAAAATAGAGCAACAACCTTTATTTTATTACACTTGCATCATCAGCAAAAATAGACCCTGACCTGCTAGCTTAAAAACTCAGTAGCCTAGCTTAAATAGCTAAGAACAATCGGGGGTTTTGCCTCATATATTGCCTTATGTTTTGTGTAATTCTGAACAACTTGGAGATTAAATATTTCTCATGAAAGAAACAAAACTCTAAGCAAAGAAATTTAGAGTCTTGATAGATTTTCTAAAAAAATAATTTTATTTTGCTTTTTCTTTGTGTTTTTTGTTCGTTTTGTTTTTTGCAAAAATGACCAGGATGTGTTGGGGCTACATGTTACTGTTGTTAATTATTCAGTCATGTACTGTATTTTTTCATGACATTAAAAACTTCTGTCTGTCCTCAGGGAGGGACGCTGCTCTACAAACCAACGCCCCTCGTCAGAGCCTGTGAAATATTAGATCCTGCAGGACGCCACCAGCGAGTTTACATCAGCGTACAACCCCAATCTGGATGCATTCTGAAAACTAGGATACAAACTTTATTTTTATCTGTATTATCTGAATTTGTATTTATAAATATGAGTATTATATCTGCATAGCTACTTGGATTTATTGCCAATTTAAAAGTTTTAAGCCATTGCCCAAAAGAAGAAGATTTTTCTTTTTAGGATGTTCAAGTTACTTTAGCCTTGAACTTCATTCTACAAATGATGTGATGGAGTTTTGTATCCACACACCTTTCCTAATAACACAGGGTTGGTTGATAGTTCAGTTTGATTCTTGTGATATAACAATAATGACCCCTAAAAAAAGAAAAAAAAAACAGACATAATCCCACCATTTTTATGTCTTCTGGACAGAACTGGCTTAAACTGTTTTCTTAGGTTGTCTTTTATCTGTAGTTTTATTCTAATGACAGACGGTAGGAGCAGGAACCGATCTGCAGCACAGAGACTTTCACGACCTTCGCTCCTTCCGATCTTCGTCAGAAGTTGACGTCATTATGCTGTTTTGAAGTACGCATGCATTGCTTTTATCTCAAGAAAGTCTATGCAGCAGAAGATAACCTACATACATAAAGTGATGTGATTAGCAGAGCAGAGCACGGAAACCCTAAACTGAAATACTTTCAACAGAAGATTACAGATTTTTCTTCAAAATACCAATCATTATTTATTCTCTAGAAGAGGCTGAGTCCTGCACAGCTGACAAAAGACTAATAGAGAACAGGGGAACATGGATCAAACTTCAAGTTGGCAACGATAAACTATATTAAGTTCTAAAGGGAGAAATAATTTTGTTTACAGGATAAAATCTCAGAAATATTTATTTGCCTTCCTTGTCTAAATGTCAAAATTGTTCCTGTTTGTCTTTAGCTCTTATTTTTGGTTCAGTCTAGAATAATTTATCACCCTGAATTGATTTTCTTCAAGCCCTCAACATGGATCCAATTCATAACCACGAGCTGCACAGCCTTAACGTTTGCACATCTATCCCCTGACAATAGAAGGGTTTAGAGTCCTTTTTTTAACACGCCTGCAGAGTTTACATCACGCACACGGCAGGCGGAGTCTGATGTTTTGCACACTTTGTGTGTCAGAGAGAGATTTTAGTTGGACTGCACTTTTTAAATCTAAATATCATTGTACTGTACGGTGTTACAAACATGTAAAAGAGAGGAAGAAAAGCCAAATAAAAGCTTTTGAAAAAGGATTCGGTTTCATCTTTTCAATCAGAGGGTTTTTGCATTCATGATGTGAGTTACGTTTCTGGAACGCACAGAGCGAAAAACAAAATGGCAGCAGCTGCTAATCAAACATTTGGGTTCACGTTTGGAGCAGAACATTATTTTCAGTCATTCTACAGGCAGAGAGATTAAAATATTTTAAATAGTTGCCCTTCTTTCCATGCATCAACTCTCTTGATTGCGTCTTTCGGCAGACAAAACCAAAGTGGAAATACTAGGGCTAGGCCATAACGCATAGCATGCCTGTAAAAAACAAAACATACATCTCATAACTGTCAAGCAAAGTGGGGAGACATCATGAATCTCTTCAGGGCGCGACATGAAGAAAAGAGAAGGAACAAAAAACAGTAACAGCAGACGTATAGCCAACTTCATCAACCCTTTCATTCATCCAGCCATTGTTGCTATTTATCTGCCCTTTACATCCTAAACTTGATGAAAACTTTACGGACGTACAAAATTCAGTGGTGAGTTGCTTGAGGCTGATTGGTTGTTAATTTTACTGCTACAAATTGTTTAGTACTTATTTAGACTTCTCCGCTCATGGAAACATCTGCTGCATGGAGTTTGGTATGTTTGTGCTTAAAAAGGTCCTAAAATATGATGACTGATTAATTTTGGTTAATATTTTAAGCATCCTTAACGATTCGGCTAAACTTGACATTGCCCTGTTTATGTACTTCTTATAGTGTTTTTGGCATTTTTTGAAATGCACATCCTCCTTCAGTGCATTTTTTCAATTCAAATCAAATTTATTGTCTTGAGTGAATCAAAGGTCAAGTATTGCAGCAGAAAAAAGTTTCACAGAAATAAGACACTGCAAAAACACAAAATCTTACTGAGTATTTTTGGTTTATGTGGCATAGTGTCAATATTTTAGCACATCTGAAATAAGACAAAACTAAAACTTTTCTGCAAGATATAGGAGCTTTGTTTATAGTCAATAATTCCTTAATATTGATGAAAATGTACTAGTTCCACTGGCAGATTATTTCACTTAAAACATGGTGAAAACATCTTGGCATAAGTGAAGTAATCTGTCGATTGAACTAGTACTTTTTCATCAATATTAAAGGAATTGTTGACTTAAAAACAAAGCTTCTGAAGAACTTCTCGTTAGTTTTGTCTTACTTCAAGTGTACTAAGATATCGGCACTAGAAAACTGCACAACAGTTCGTGGTAAGATTTGGTGTTTCTGCGTGTGTAGCTGGTTGTCATTCCCACTTTGAAAACCCCTGCAGAGCCCAGGACCAGCAGCCTTGTTTAACACAGATTGGTCCTTCTTTTTTCTCACCTTTGGTCAACTTGGATAGAAATTCCCTACAAAAGCGATTTGGAAGTGAAACAAATGTATGAACAGAATCTTGCTGCATATCTCTGGTGGGAGCAGCACACCAGCTTGATTCCAGCACTAAACTGGAAAGCGTGTGAATCATAAAGCAACATCTGCTGCAGGATAATGACAAGACATCTGAGTCATACGCCTTGCATTTTTTCTTATGCCACTCGAGGGAGCGAAGCCGCTGTCAAGAGTTCAAAAGTCAAAGAGCCGCTGGTGTTTAAATCGTCAGTCTTTCACAATAACTGGACCGAGCCAAGTGTGTGAGGGTAAAGTTCTGTTGATTTCACCTTTGCATTGACCTTGGACATAAAAATCACATTTACATAGAAGCTATTAAGCATTCTGAAAGGCAAGAGACAAAGAGATGTGTTTTTTGACTGATTTGAACTGTTTAAAAGCAGCAAGCAGACCAACAGTGAGGTCGTGAAGGCCTAAAAATATCAAACTTCAATATCTGAAAAGTGTGGCTTCTGTTTCTATCTATCCCACAATCGTGCAACGACTTTACAAAACCACCTTTTCCTCACATTACAGCTTCAAATGTTTCAGGGGAATGTCTCTACCAGTTTTCCAAATCAGGGAACATTTAGTCCCCTGATTCCATAATGGATTCCCTAAATGTGTGCTTCAATCTCAGCATAAACCCAAACTGTTCAAATCCAGCTCATCCACTATAATTTAGGTGCCAACAGCTGTTAAATGGGCTCACTGTTTGGTCGTGTTGGGGTTTTCTAATCTGTTTACTGTTCACTCGTGTGTTTTTGTAAAAAAAAATGTTTTCGCTGCGATGGCCTGATATTGACTTGGCCTCTTCTTCCTCTCCAGTCTGGGCAGAAGTCATCTGGCGCTGCTGTCCTGCACACGCTGTTCCTCACGCAGACTGTGCTGATTCGAGTATGTGAGAGATGGGTCGAAGAACTCCTAGTTGGCACTTGTTTAACAGCTCCGTCTGGACCTTCAGAGGCTATCTAAAGCTTTCCAAGCATGTGAGGAAGTCAGTTTGCTGTGTGGAAAACCCTGGCTTACGACACAGGCTAATTTTTCTACTCATACCATTAGCCTGCTTAGCTTAGCACAGCTTAACTGCATACTTCTCTATTTTTAGCACAGTTATGTTAACTTATCGACTTAAATTGTAAATTACTCAAGATAGTTATAGACTACAAATTGTTTAATTATCTCCTTTTCTTCTTTTTTGTGCTGCAGTGTAAAGTGTCTTTTTCTTATTATTGTAAAACATCACATACATCAACCTGCCGATGGGACCAGGGATGGAAATTAGATTTCGGTTTGATTTGCTCTCAAATTATATATTTTTTGCATTTTATTTATAAAATAAAGCAAAATAATTTGTTTTGTTTCTGGTTATCACATAAATGAGTTATTAAAGTATTTTGTAAGGTAGCTATAAACTTTGTCCAAAATTTGTCACAAAGCTTTAACAAAATAATTCAAAGGAAAAACAACAGAAACACCTAAAGGTCAGACATTTCATGATATATCAGTAATAAGTATCGGTATCGGCGATACTGGTCCTGTATTTTTATTTGGTATCAGATCCTAAGCTATGCAGTATCACACTGTGGTACTGGGGATGGGAAGACATCGACCAGTGTTTTATTTGTGGTTGAAAAGGTCTTTGTGTCTGAACCGACCATGACTTTTAATATGTTGGGATAACATTTGGACCCAGAAAGCAAAACCTACTGAGAAAATTAGACCTGACTGACACAGAAACATTGGCTAAAGACATTAAAGGTGAAGTGAAACAAATAAACAAATAATTACAAATATCAACCCTACAGGTGATGTTGAATTCCTATATCTAAAAATAAGAGCCAAGTCTTGGGTTTACATTGATATAATCCAGACAGGGATAAATGTCAAATGCTTTTCACCCCGATTTCACATGAATCTGGTTTCACTTTGTGAACCACAGGAACTCACTGACTAATCTGCTGAACCTGTTTTAAATGTTCAGCAAACGGCTTCCAGCCAAGGGGAATGTTTTCCATTCGCACCACGATGTAGTTCAAGGTGGTCCATCACCAGGGTCACTTTTTTGCCCGTTTATGACACACAGTTGACAGATTGGCGAGCGTGTTTGGAACACGTGTCAAAGTTTGATATTTTTAGGACTTCACGACCTCACTGTCTGTGTTTGTCCAGGTCTGTTTGCTCTTGGGGGAAAAATAGAATTGGTCGTTTTGGTCTTAATATTGTTAAACTTTGAACTCCTGCAAGTTACACTCACATTTTCCATTTTCCTCTAAGTGCTAAAATGCATTGTTGCAATAGCTGTGCCACCTCCGTGTTGGTCTTTTGTCCATTGAGTCCAACCATAACTTGACTTTTTATATGGCTTTTGGAGTAATAGCTTCCTCCTTACTGAGCAGCCTTAAAGTCCAGACCAGTACCAGTTTATTAGTGGAAAACGATACTCCGTTACAGGTTTAGTCAGCAAGTTTGCAAAGTGTTTTGTTCTGTTGTTTCCCACTCCAAGTTTCTCGGCATAGTTGACGGCGAATCTTAACGTACAGCTGTGTTCTGGTTTTGAAGCAGAATTAGCGACTGGCTAATAATCTTGAATACAAACACAGTTCCACAGAAAGAAAAAGTCTATGTGTGAAACAGGTTTATAAAAGTTTTGTGTTTTTCAATATAGCTTACTTTTAATTCGTTGCGACTTTTTGTCTAATTCAGTTTTGATTTGTTTTTAGAGTGTTTGCTGAG